GACTAGAGCCTGCCGGGGAATTCTCCAGGCCAGAATACTGGAGTGGGTTGGCATTCTTTTTTCCAGGGGATCTTCCCGACCTAGGGATCAAACTCCAGTCTCCTGAATTTCAGGCAGATTCTTTACCATCTGAGCCACCAGGGAAGCCCTAGGCTTCAGGGGGTGGATCTCAAATATGAAACCTGCTTGTTGAAAAGATTAAATGGATATAGCTGATCCTGTGCCTGACCCTGGGAAACTAGTCAGGGAAGTTTACTCACAGCAGACACAGGACTTCCCTGGTGGTCCAGTGGTTGAGAAGCCACTTGCCAATGCAGGGCACTTGGGTTCTATCCCTGATCCGGGAAGATCCCATATGTCACGGGGCAGCTAAGCCCCTGTGCCCTGGAGCTTGTGATCTGCATCCAGAGAAGCCCCCACGATAAGAAACCCAACAGAGAAAAAGTGAAAGTGAAGTTGCTCAGTCGTGTCCGACTCTTTGCAACCCATGGACTGTAGCCCACCAGGCTCCTCCGTCCATAGGATTTTCCAGGCAAGAGCACTGGAAAATCCAGTGCCATTTCCTTCTCCAGGGGATCTTCCCAATCCAGGGATCAAACCCAGGTCTCCTGCATTGTAGGCAGATGCTTTTGCCATCTGAGCCACTGGGGAAGTCCAACTAGACAGAGCGTACTGCAACTGGAGAAAGCCTACACGTAGCAATGAAGATCCAGCGCAGCCTAAATAAGTAAATAAATGAAGCAGCCACAACAAAACCCAGTGAGACAGGCAGGGCAGGAATTTCTCCAAAGTCCATTTAAAAGAACAAGACCAAGGTTCAGAGAGGTCAAGCAAAGTGCCCAGAGTCACACAGCACACGCTGGTTCCGACTCCAGGGTGTGTGCCCTCTCTGCTCTTCCTGTTGGGGGGCAGGGGGACTGAGGCAGAGCTCACAGCCCCCCAATACTGCAGCTGAGCCCCAAACTTCAGTCAGCCAGCCAGGGTGGACCTCTCACGCTCGGGTTGGTGTGGCTGGGAGTGACCAAGCCTTGGACTGGACTGCCAGGGAGGGGGCAGCCGGGCTTTCGCTGGCCGAGAGGGACGCAGAGCCAGAGAAAAATCATTACAGGTAGATGAATTATTCACAACATCGTCGACCTCTCAGGCCCCGGACAGCCGGGAGCTCGCCAAACAGCCCAGCGCATCTTATTACCCGCGTGTAATGGCCTCTTTTCCTCTGTCTCGGAAGAAAGCGATTCAACATCATCAAATATTAATGCAGGGCGGCTGACGCGGTGGCCGCTCACACACTGGCCCTCCCAGGCTGGCCCGGAGGTCAGGGATGACGCCAACCTGGGACCCAGAGACTCGGCTAGAAGGGGCCCGGGTGGCCGTGACTTCCCTCCAAAGCCCGCCCAGTGAGGCCTCACACACAGCAGCCTCCCCCTCCTCCATAACCTCAGGTGCACCAGAAATGCTACACTCGGTCTTCCTGAAATGGGGGTGAATGTTCATTCTGCACCCCATCCCGTCCCCACACTCAGTGGGTTTGGGGTCCCCCGGGGAGGTGTCTGCCCTCCCGAGGCCAAGGCACCTTGGGGTTTGTGTTACTGTCCCGTGGCCATTGTAACAGATTACCGCAAACCGAGGGGCCTAAGATAACAGATATTTATTCTCTCCAAGTTCCGGAGGCCGCAAGTCTGAGAGCAAGCTGTCTGCAGGGCTGCGCTCCCCCTGAGGCTCTGGGAGAATAGCCTCTCGGCCTCGTCGGCTCCTGGGGGCCACCGGGGGTCCTCAGCGTGTGGACACGTGGTTCCCATCCTGCCTCCGTTGCCAGGTGGGCTCCTCCCGTGGGTCTCTCCTCATCTCATAAGGACACCAGGCGTTGGACTCGGGGCCCGTTCTCCTCCAGGGTGACCTCATCCTAACTGACTACACCTGCAACAACCCTGTTTCCAAATGGGGGCACGTTCTGAGGTTCCAGGTGGACATGCCCAGGAGGACACCATTCAGTCCATCACAGGGGCCGTGCTGGCCCTCAAGGCCACAGTTCACCTGGGTGCTGATATTCAGGTCCACAAGTCAGGCAGGCGAACCGACCCCAGAGCTTCTCCGGGTTCCTTCTTCCTCTCTTGCCCACATTCACACCCCTCCCACTGTTTCCACAGCCCCCCGGGGGATGGGAAAGTTCAGAAGGCTTGTCCAAGACCCTCTGTCCAGGTGCCCCTCAGCTCACCTCCATCACTCAGAGGGACAGGGTCCCCTCAGCCCCCCAGACTCTGGCAGGTGCCAGGAAACCTGAGTTCTGAGTCCTCAAGTTGGGGTACAGCTGATGCAGTGGACACCCTTCCCACACGCCCTCAGCCCCAACCTTGCCGGACACTCTGACCCAGCAGATTCCAACTCCGCACACCTAGGTCTTTCTCCTGTGGCTTCTCCCGCCACCAGGGTCCACCTCACTGCCGCATAGGGTGGCCCAGAGTCAGGAAGGCCGTGTTCCTCCCCCCGGATCGGCCCTCAGCTGGCGGTCCCAGCCCTCACCCCTGGACTGGTCTGGCCGCTCGTCCCCGCTGGATCAGAGACGCCTGGGGGCGCAGGCCCCAGCACCCGCCCCCTGGACGGCTCTGCAGCCGCCCCGCCTTTGCACCACAGTGCCTCACTCAGCACCTCCCAGGGAAGCTCTCGCTCACAGCCTTACAGGGTCTGCTGCTGAGGAAATCCGCCCTGAGACGCAGAGTCTAATAGTTTCCCTTGCTAGCTCAGCCCAGGTCCCACTCTGGAGACCCTCCAGGCCCCAGCTCTTCTCTTCCTGATCCAATCGCCTCTCCTGCCTCACCAGGAAGAGGCTTCATTCATTTAAAAACCAGAGTCTGAGTGTGAACTCACAGCAGCCCCAAGCAGGCCACCCCCCCCCCACCAATGCCGCCCACCCTGTGTCTGCCCAGGGCAACCCCAGGATCATGCCACACTGGCCCCAGTTCAGTCTGACCCACCATCTACCCCCATTCTTTAGCTCAGGAGCACCCCCACTTTGCAGACATCACCAGGGATCCCTCTGTCTATCCCTTAAGGCCAGCCCCGGTGACCCTCCTGCAGGAAGCGTCCCCACACCCTCCAGCCAGACAGAGCTGCCCCCCACCCACAGGCTCTTTACAGGCACAGCCGATGGCCTCCTCCCGTGTGTCCCCTCCACCAGCCAGAGACCCGAGCCACCCCTGTGTCCCCAGCACCCTCACAAGGTCAAGCTGCCGTCGGCGTCAAGCGGTGTTTGACAATGAGGATGGCCAACAGCTTAGTCTCAGTGGAGGAAGAAGGTGCAAGCACACGTGCTGACCTAGTGAAACTCTCCCGCAAACATTTGCCAGCAGCTCCCACACTCTTCCCAGGCCTGGGCTACAGGGCACGTGCCAGGCCCCGCCTACCCCCAGGCCAGCGGCAGCACACACCTCTGAGCCACCGCACAGGCTGATCCTTGTGCCTGGAACCCCACCTCTCATCCAGGTCCCTCCAGAGACTTGGCAGGGGATGGGGACTCCTCCTCTGCCACCGCCCCCCCCCCAGGCCCCAGGTCTTGCCCCATCACTGTCCTTCGGCCTCTGGATCAGAGCAGGCCTGCTTACTGGCCTGTCCTCTCAGAGGTCAGCTCTTTGGAAGAGCGAGATCAGCCAGCAGAGTCAGCGTGTCTCCCAGCCCTCTCTCCTCTCCCCAGGGCCCCCCTCATCCCCCCACCTCAAGCTGCCCACCTCCCCTCTGTCCTCACACCGTCTCTCCCCGAGCCCAGGAGCACGGCCCATTTCTGCCTTGATGCTTCCCAGCTTCTAAACAGTAGTATACACCGCACCCTCACCTCTTGCCCAAGACACCTCGATCCCACCCTGGGCCTGGCCTGGGCAGGGTGACCCGGTGACCAGGACACAGCAAGCGTCTGGAGCTGCTCCCAGACCAGTGGGAGCAGCCGAGGCATAAACAGCCAGCGCAGCTCGGGGCGCTGGGCAGAGGGGCCCCGATGGTGTGAGACAGTCTGAGGTCTCCAGGGGGTGACGCCTGAAGCCACAGGGGAGGTGCTGGGGGCCAGGGCGTGGTGGCTGGAGGCAGAACCATGGCCAGTGGTCGGCTGTGAGCATTAGGGCCGAGGCGGCTGGGAGGGTGCAGGGCCCCCGTGGGTCTGCCCGTACCCGGGGGGCGGGGGGAGACTCTGCAGTCTGGGCCACGTGGTAAGTCTCAGGAACCTGAGGTGTTTTTTGCCTTTGTGGGCTCCTTCCAATATTAAAAGCTTTTTTAATTATATTTTACAACTGCACTGGTATAAAGACAAATATAATCCAGGCTGGATTCATATTATTATATTTATCTTTTTCCTTTTGATTCTAAAAGAAATTAAAATGAAAACATGTTTGCAGGCCCTGGAGCATCTTGAGTCCCCTGTTTCTGTTGCTTTTTAAGGGACTGGCCAGTCTGAACTGCTGGGCCTAACCCCCGCCGGAGGCTCTGCTGCCTGGAGGGGTCCCTGGAGCTAGGGGCGCAGGGGGAAGAGAGTCGAGTTCCTGCAACTGGCATCACCTTGAGGGGGGGCGTCTAAGGCCAGACCCGAGGCTGGGGGGCTGGAGGGAGGCCGCGTTCCGCTCACCCACGGCTCACGGGACTGCTGCTTGGTCTCTCGTCTCGCTGGAGGGGCTGGGGCTGGGAGTCAGCAGCGAAGTTCAGCTACCCAGACCCCCAGCTACCGGGGAGGTTTCCTCATCTGTAAAATGGGACCATTCAGATGGTATGAGCCTTACGTGGTGAGTCCTTGACGAGTGTCACCACCTTCCATTCTTCTCTCTGCTATTAATAGTTATCTCACAGCAACCCCCAGAACAATCATCATTATCCCCACTTTACAGATGAGGAAACTGACCAGCAGAGGAAAGGGAGCTGCCTGGGGCTGTGGGCTGCAGCAGCTCCAAGGAAGGACAGGAGATTTCAGTCCCTAGGGAACAGTCTGGAAGCAGATGTGCAGGGCAGGCCCACCCCCCCGAGCCATGGCACATCCACCACATCACCCACCTGGCCGCCAGGGCCGGACGGGCCCCCAGGCCTCCCACCGTGTCCCCGAAGCTTCCGCAGCGGATCTGTGGCTTGTTTTCTCTTTAAGTGGTGACTCATGTTCTGGAGACATCATATTGCAAGAACAGTACATTCTCCGGGGCCCACACGGGAAGGATGCATTCATCAGGACAGCCCAGGACAGACTGAGCACCGTGCCTGAGGGCCTCGCACCTCCGCAGTTCCCACATCCCCCCGGAAGCAGCCAAGACCCTCGGAGCCGGCACAGCCGCCGCCTGCCCCAGAGGGACGGGTGCGCTGTGGAAACACAGCCTGGCAACCGTGGAGCAGCCAGCCCTTCACCCAGGTGCATCAGCATTCTGAACAGCACCCCGGAGGGTACGGGAGAGCCTTCCACCCTGGGGTCTCCACCCGGTGATTTTAGCCACAGTCAGGCACAAGCCATGATCCACTTGACCTATTTGTCCAACATTCATTCCTTTATTTATTAAGTTTGCCGTGGGCCTACGTGGGGTAAGCATCCCTCTAGATACTGAGAACATAGACTTGGACTGAACAGATCAGATCTAGTCGGTGAAACAGAGCTGAAGACATCATCACACGCTGCAGTGACGGACAGGAAGCGCGGGGAAGTTCACCCAGGGCACTTAGCGGTGATGCCAAAAGCTTGGCTCTCTGTCCGTGGGTGCCAAATAGAATCTCAGAGACAGAGTTTTGGGTGAAGTAGAAAAAGAATAGCGTAATTGCTTTGCCAGGCTAAAGGGGACACAGTGGCTGGCTCCTGCCTCGAAAACCTGTGTGTCTCACCCAGGTTTAATGAGACCTCTCACCCAGGAGGCTTTGATAAGGAGTTCTATAGCTGCAGTCCATGGGGTCGCAAAGAGTCGGACACGGCTGAGCAACTGAACTCAACTCGTTCAACTTCTATAGCCACAGTTCAAGGGCAAGGTTGCTGACAAGGTTAGGGTGTGTGGAGGGTCTCGGGTGGTGGCTCTCCTAATCTTTATGAACTTCCCCGGTCCCTTTAATCTGGCCTTAGGTGGTTTCCTGGACGTGAGTGTGAGCCAACTCCGGGAGATGGTGAAGGACAGAGAAGCCCGGTGTGCTGAGTCTCAGAGTCAGACACAACCGAGCAACTAAACAACAGGTGGTTTCTCACTGCTCCTTTGAGCAGTAACTGTTGGAATCTGCCCTTTGGAGCTCAGGGAGGTCGTGGAGGCTGAGTCTTGCCTACAAGAAACGGAGGACAGAAGGGCTTCTGTGCCCAGAAGCCCCACAGGGTCCTTGGTTTCACCCGGGAGGCCCCAGAAGGCTTCTCAGGCACAGAAACCCCTAGAAAGGGGACGGCCAAGGAGAGGAGGACATGCTGGGTGAGGGAGCAGCACGAGATGGGAAGGAGGCTTTCCTTTTTTTGTTCCAAGGCTGGTGATAGACAGTGGGCGTGTTTACTAGGACTCTGCCCCAGGCTCTGCCCGAGGCCCCGAGACTCCCAGATACACCCCGGTCCTGCCTCTAGCTGCCTGGTGTCGTAAGGAGAGGCAGATATTCCTGGACCATCTCCGGATGCACCCACTCCCACTTCCCTTCCTCTCTTATGCGCCTCACACAGCTTGGCCGTGGGGATTCTTGCTTTAGGAGGGCTGTGGGGACCCCTGGGAACAAGGGCATCCTGGGGGCTGGGAGATGCAGCACCTGTCACCTAGGACTTCCCACCTGACCAGACGAGGGAGCTGAAAGCCAGTGGGGAGGGAGAGCGGGGAGGGTCCCTGAATCCCCAGGGAATCTCAAGAATGCGGCCAAAACGCTGGAAGATATCCAAGGGCTGCTGGGTGGGTCTACAAATGGCAGAGGGAAACATCCCAGGTAACCCAGCCACTGTCCCTCCCTCAGACCCTGCAAGAGCCCCTCACCACTCTGCCCGCCCATGCTCCACCCCATTCTCCACCCCAAAGCCAGGGATGCTGTTCAAAACCCAATATATACAATGGAATATTACCCAGCAGTAAAAAAGAATGCATTTAAGTCAGTTCTAATGAGGTGGATGAACCCAGAGCTTATTATATAGAGTGAGGTAAGTCAGAAAGAGAAAAACAAAAATCATACATTAATGCACACATGTATATATATGGAATCTAAAAAGATGGTATTGATGAATGCTGGGCAACAGTGGAGACACGGGCGCAGAGAACAGACTCGTGGACAGGGCAGGGGAAGGAGAGGCTGGGATGAATGGGGAGAGTATCACTGAAACATATGCATTACCATGTGTAAAGCAGAGAGCCAGTGGGAATGTGCTGTATTGCAAACGCTGGGAGCTCAGATTCAGTGCTCGGTAACAACCAGAGGGTGAGATGGAGGTGAGAAGGGGGTTCAAGAGGGAGGGTACATGTGTGTACTGGGCTGATCGATGCTGATATAAGGCAGAAACGATCACAATAATGTAGAGCAATTATCCTCCAGTTAAAAATACATCATTTTAAAATGGCAAAAATAAATTGATTACATTTTTTAAAAGTAAAGAAAATAACACACACACACACACACACAATCCCAGACGTTCGGTTTCTAGTCTAGCATAGAAGCATGGAAGCCGCCGCTCCAGTCCTAACAGCAAGTAAAAACCTGCACAAGCTGAAAAATCAACAGCTCTTGTTAGATTTGCAAAAGAAGTGAGGCCCGGGGAAAACTGCTGTCCCCGCTTGGGAGGCACCAACAGGTGAGCCCAGAGAAGAGTGGCTCCCAGGAGCAGAAAGCCACCCAGGACCCAGGACGGGGGAGGGAACCCGAACGGAAGCTGCTGCTAGGGCTCAGTGTGGCCAGGGACTGCCCTGTAGGTCAGACGGTAAAGAATCCGCCTGCAATGCAGGAGACATGGGTTCGATCCCTGGATCAGGAAGATTTTTCTGGAGAAGGGAATGGCAGCCCACTCCACTATGCTCGCCTGGGGGAATCCCATGGACAGAGGAGCCTGGCAGGCTACAGTCCACGGGCTCAGGAAGAGTTGGACGTGACTGAGCGACTAACACTCCACTCAGGGTGGACAAGGCCCAGAATTGAAGTTCCAGAAGAGTCGGTGCAAGAGGGATCCTCACCTGTCTGTGAAGCTGCTCTCACTAGGGAATATTGGAAGAAAAATCTCCGTGTCCTTCCAGCAGAGAAGGGGGAAAGGAATCATTGTGGAATATGCCAGAATATTCCATTCTTCACAGAGCCCTCAGGGGAAACTGGTTTAACCTAATCTATCAGATTTAATCTATCAAATTATTTAATCTATTAGCAGCAGCAGTAGTATTAGTCACTCAGTCATGTCTGACTCTGTGACCCCACGGACTGTAGCCCGCCAGGCTCCTCTGTCCACGGGACTCTCCAGGCAAGAGCAGTGGAGTGGGCTGCCGCTCCCTTCGCCAGGAGACCTTCCCGACCCAGGGCTCAAACCTGGGTCTCCTGCATTGCATGTGGAGTCTTTACCAACTGAGCCACCAGGGGAGCCCAATCAGAGCCTAACAGAGAGTTAGAGAGAAAGCAGTGTTATAACACAACTTCAAACCACTCTAGATGTCCTGTCCCATCTAAGGGGAAGGAATGAGAAACATCCATGAAATTCATGGTCCAGAGGCACAGGCTCACTGTAGGACTGAGACCTGGAATGCTGCTGCACCTTCACATTACTGAAGTCCTATCTCTAAAAGTTTCTTTCTTTCGTCCATCATGCTGCGGATATCAAGAAAATATCACACTGCAACTTTAAAAATTAAAAGGCAAAAAACATAATTTGAAGAGACAGGACAAGCATAAGAATCGGATCCTGATATACCGAGGAGGGCAAGAATCCCTTAGAAGAAATGGAGTGGCCCTCATAGTCAACAAAAGGGCCCAAAATGCAGTACTTGGATGCAATCTCAAAAATAATAGAAAGATCTCTGTTCATTTCCAAGGCAAATCATTCAACATCACAGTAATCCAAGTCTATGCCTCAACCACTAATTCCAAAGAAGCTGAAGTTGAATAGTTCTATGAAGACCTCCAAGACCTTCTAGAATGAACACAAAAAAAGGTGTCCTTTTCATCATAGGGGATTGGAATGCAAAAGTAGGAAGTCAAAAGACACCTGGAGTAACAGGTGTTTGGCCTTGGAGTACAAAATGAAGCAGAGCAAAGGCTAACAGAGTTCTGCCAAGATAACGCACTGGTCACAGCAATCACCCTCTTTCAAAGACATAAAAGACTAGTCTACACATGGACATCACCAGGTGGTCAATAATGAAATCAGATTGATTATATTCTTTGCAGCTGAAGATAGAGAAGTTCTATACAGTCAGCAGAAACAAGACTTGGAGTTAACTGTGGCTAAGATCATGAGATCCTTATTGCAAAACTCATACATTGAAGAAAGAAGGGAAAACCACTAGACCATTCAAGTATGATCTAAATCAAATCCCTTATGATTGATTATACAGTGGATGTGACAAATAGATTCAAGGGATTAGATCTGATAGATAGAGTGCCTGAAGAACTATGGATGCAGGTTTGTAACATGGTACAGGACACAGTGACCAAAACCATCTCTAAGAAAAAAAATGCAAGAAGGCAAAATGGTTATCTGAGGAGGACTTGCAAATAACTGAGAAAAAAAGAGAAGCTAAATGCAAAGGAGAAAGGGAAAGATATACCCAACTGAATGCAGAGTTCCAAAGAATAGCAAGGAGAGATAAGAAAACCTCCCTAAGTGATCAGTGCAAAGAAATAGAGGAAAACAATAGAATGGGAAAGACTAGAGATCTCTTCAAGAAAATTACAGATACCAAGGGAACATTTTGTGCAAAGATGGGCACAATAAAGGACAGAAACAACAGGACCTAACAGAAGAGACAGAAGAAGAGGTGACAAGCATACACAGAACTGCATAAAAAAGGTCTTCATGACCCAGATAACCATGATGATGTAGCCACTCACCTAGAGCCAGACATCCTGGAATGTGAAGTCAAGTGGGCCTTAGGAAGCATCACTATGAACAAAGCTAGTAGAGGTGATGGAATTCCAGTTGAGCTACTTCAAATTCTAAAAGATGATGCTGTTAAAGTCCTGCACTCAATATGCCAACAAATTTGGAAAACTCAGCAGTGGCCACAGGACTGGTAAAGGTCAGTTTTCATTCCAATGCCAATAAAATGCAATGCTAGAGAATGTTCAAACTATGTAGAGTATATCATGCAAAATGACAGGCTGGATAAAGCACAAGCTGGAATCAAGATTGCCAGGAGAAATATCAATAACCTCAGATATGCAGACTATTCCACCCTAATGGCAGAAAGTGAAGAGGAACTGAAGAGCCTCTTGATGAAGGTGAAAGAGGAGAGTGAAAAAGTTGGCTTAAAACT